TTTTTTGGCTAACAAGCCTTAAATCAAATCTCCGATTTTGGCGACAACAGCCCAATACAATTTTGGCAAAATTGCTCATAAATCAACTCATTTTGGCTAAAAGCCTTATCAAATAATCACTTTTGGGGCAAAAAAATTGTCTGAAATCATACTCTTCTTTCCGCGCTATAAAGCCTTAAATCACACCACTATTTTTCGGCAAACGAACGCTCTACTCAAAGATGCAAGTCCGAATTTTCTGACAAAATATGCCTATAACAAAACATATGCATCAACAGCATCACCAACACACTCATCCGCATTACAGCATACCCATGTCAAAAGCCCTTATAAAAAGGCCTATCGTAAAACTACGTCCGTATCTTTGAATCTCTCTTTCCATTCAAAACGGAAGTACGTAGGCGCACGTTTGGGTATTTAACTCACCGAGCGGTCAAGTTCGGAGGATCACTTAATACATTTTTCATTTTGTGTCCAATTAAACATCATTTACCTTGCATAAGTCATTCATTTCATTCGGTTAGTCCCATCAGCATGACACTTGTCTCGGGATCCACCCTCTGGGTATCAGTAGACACAATTAACCTTAAACACATTGGGAAATTAATCTAGCAATTAGGTTAAATTAAAATCGGAGTACAAACTTAAGTTTTTTTCCAGTGACATTGTCTCGGGATCCACCTCGGGTTCGTAGACCATGCCTTAAACATTGGGATAATTAATCTAGCAATTAGGTTAATTAAAATCGGAGTCAACTTAAGTTTTTTTCCTAGTTTACCCTAAAACAATTAAACAAGGTGGCGACTCACACATTCACGCGCATTTCTTCTCTTAGTCATATGCATTATATGCTATATGTTCGGGGGAGGGGTTCACACTTATCCGACGTCAATTTGCATAGAGAAGAAGCCCTTTGGCCAAAAATCATAATGACAACCTCCTCCTTGTCGTCGTTCATGGTGGATTTGCGAGACGGAGCTAGTCGCTAGAGTTTATGGAGGGGAAATGATCATCAGGTGATGGAGAGTCGATCGAAGGCCTCTTTGAAGGCTATCTTTGCCGATAATGGTAGGAATCTGCCGCTAGTGTACTGAACACCTTACTCGCAATTTCTCTTGATTTAGGCCTTTATCATGCTAATAGTGGCCACAAGCATGTTCGTCTCATCGAACTCTTAAGTTTAGAACCTTCACTCGCTCGAAACAATGGTCGTTTGGCCAGAAAACAGAAAGGAGAGGGGAAGGGGATCCGTCGGCGATGGAGAGGAGAGAAAGAAGTTTTGTTGGCTTTCTCTTTCCTCATTGATTGGCTTAAAACTGATTTGGTTTACTTCAAAGGGGTTCAATTATTGGGAGCTTGTAGGTCCTTAATTTATTTTTGCTAGTTTGATTTAGTGTCCAGAATATTTCCTCAATTTATTAAATAATAATAATAATAATAACAATAATAATAATATTTGAGTTTAGTTTAATTATTTTTTCACACACACACACACACATATATATATTTTTCACACACACACATACACAAGCATATACTATTATATATATAAGATATTATATATATAGATTGATTTAATATTTAAAGCTCTTCTTGAATAAAATTTTAGAAAGGTTCTCGACTAAGGAATTCCGAGTAGCCATGTTATTATGGGTTTGAGTTTAATATTTAAAGCTCTTCTTGAAAATTTTAGAAGGTTCTCGACTAGGAATTCCGATAGCATGTTTTTGGGTTTGAGTTCGAGTTTACAAATTTGGGTTTGAAATATAATTTTTAATTTTATTAAAATTCGAAGGTTTTTGAAAATAAAATTATGGGAGATTTCATTTTCATTGTAGTTATGATTAATACTAATATTATAATTATTTCACTTGGTATTATAATCATATATAGTGGTACAATAACTAATAAATATGTGATATCTAGTATCAAAATAAATTTAGCTATTCCATATGGATTATCTATATATAAAGATTGTAATTATAACTATTTTAATACTTAATTATTGTATAATTAGAGTTAGTATTGTAATAGTATTATAAATATAATTAATTATAATTAAAAGTTTAATAATATGAATTGACTATACATAAAAACTATAAAAATTATATAATTTTCCTCACCCAATACATCCAACGTGGTCCCCACCCTCTTTCCACCTTCTCTCCTTCATCTCTTTCTCTCTTAGGTGGTTAGAGAGAAAAGCAAGTGATTAGATGGTGGCTAGAGTTTCATATTTAGATGTAATCATATAATGATAATATTAATTATTGTTCATATTTAATTCTTGCATTAGTGCTAGTTATTATTTAGGTTTTATTATAAAAGTAAATATTATAATTACAGAATAGTTAACTATGAGTATCATGATTATTATTTCAATTATTTATACATAAAAAATTACGTAATTAACTATGTCAAGATAATAATTATTAGAATATTTACTCCAATATACTTATTTACCATAATTTTTATTTATGAGTATAGTTTTATATATCTATCTAATAGTATTTTTTATTTCATTTATTATAATTTACAAATAATATATTGCATTTTAAAGAATAAATATTTGAAGTGGTTTAGCGGTAGAACCTCTTAATTGTATGAAATGAGTTATTACCCAATGGTGGTGGTTCGTGATCAATAACATCAGCAGATGATGAGAAAATTATTATTTCGTCCCTGAGATTTTATATAATTATTTAGGTAGTCCTCGACATTTATACATATATTTATAATGTCCCTGAGGTTTGCCACCGTCATATTAATTGGTCCTTCCGTAAGATATTAATTAAATTTCGATCCCACTATACGAGATTTTAATATAACTTATTTTTATGGTAGTACCCCTCGACCATTTCTACTACGCCATACTCAATTTATTTAAAATGCTCCCCTGTATGTGAGGTGTTTGCCGAGACCATTTCGCGGGTCATATTAAAATTGGTCCTTCCCTGTAAAAAAAAAGTGTACGCATTTTTTTCCGATTTAATCTTTTGAGAAGAAGAGAGACGAATATTTATCCTTATGAAAAAAAGTGAATTCACTTTTATCTAACCTGAGGAGTTTGCTCATATTACCTTAAGTATGCCTCTTACATTTATACAAACATTTAATAACATCACGCCTATAAGGTTTACTTCTGCGTCATATTAATTTGGTCCTTTCCCATCAAATAAGAAAATACACGCTTCTTCTTCCTACCTCTAATTTTGAGAGTCTCAAAAAAGACCCTGAGAATTTATCCATTAATATATAAGTTGTTTTTTCATTGAACATTATTATTAATCCCTTTCCTCTAAAAATAAATCCTAAAACTCACATTTTCAAAACCATCCTTTCCTCTAATCCAACGCGGTCTTCGAGTGCCTACCCCCGCCTACCTGTGTCAATGAAAACTATCAATCTCCATAACCCAGCATTCACCAACCACAACTAAAACCAACATTCAATACTGTCAATCAAAGGCCAATCATCACCACGGCTTCATGCCTCATTTATCTCTTCTCTTCCTTGAATTTAGAAGATTTAGGTTTTAGTTTGGCTCACTTTCTGTATTTAAAATGATTAACAAGGCAAAAATGCTGTGTACTTTGTTGCGACAGACGGCAACCCAAGTCAATATGACGGAAGTAAACCTCAGGAAACGTATAAATATTTGTATAAATAGGCGGACGGACCTACCTGTAAATAGATAATGTGTCAAACCTCATGCAAACAAATATATGAGATTATTTCCCCCTTCCTTTAGGTTTTGGTCGCGGGATGATCTGGTTAGTCGGAACATGGATAACTTTTGACAGAGACAGCGGGTGTGAAATAAAATATGCACCGTGTTGGGTTTGGGAAAAATAGCTGAAAAATTTGAGTTTTCAGAGTATTTACTAGAGGACACAGGAATTGACAATCACACTGACTCAAGAAAAACTATATAAAAGAAATTAATTGTCGTCTGTTCTCCGGCTCAAAACTTCAATAAAAAAAGCTAATACTCTTATTATTTAATGGAAGGACGTCAATGTAATGACGAGAAGTAACCTCAGAAGACGGATTAAATAACCACCCCCTTATGTAAAATATTTGTATAAATGTCAGGGACTACATTAATAATTGAAGGACCAATTAATATGACGGAAGTAAACCTCAGAGACGTTATAAATATTTGTATAAATGTCAGGGACTACTTAATAATTATGGCAAACCTCAGGGAGGAAATAATTATTTTTTCAAAGGATAATTTCGTCTTTTCTTCTCAAAATTAACGGAAAAAGTGTATTTTTTTTTACGGAAAGACCAATTAATATAACGATAGCAAACCTCAGGGACGTTATAAATATATGTATAAATGTCGAGGACTATCTAAATAATTATGTAAAACCTCAGAGACGAAATAATAATTTTCCCGCAGATGATCAATATTGATTAGCAATATTACTAACTAATTGGTAAAATTAATAATTATAATAAGTTCTAAACTCTCTTTTAAAAAGAATTAAATTATTTTTCTTCAAAATAGTTTATCTTTACTTGAAATCAAGAAAATATTTTTCATTAACTTATTTTTTATTTTTCATAGATATCTTAAATATTAGAAAGTTCATAAATAATATCTAAATAAATTATTATCTAGAAACAAATATAGCCTTTAAATTGAAGTCTAAAATAAAAACTAAAAAATTAATATAATGTCTTATCATTTAACTACTTCTAATATCACATAATTTACGCTAACAAATTTGGAAGTTTGCCAATCTACACCTATGTTTGAATTAAATTCTAAAAACCCCAAGCAAATACTATCAATTATTTCAAAAATGTTACAACGACAGATTTTCCGGAGACAAAAAAAAAAAAAAAAAAAAAAAAAAAAAAAAAAAAAAAAAAAAAAAAAAAGAAATCAAACGCAAAGGTGATAAATTTTTTTTTTTTTTTTTTTTTTTTTTTGCCCTTTTGGTTAAATTTTATTGTTAAGAAGTAAAATTGAACAAAAAATAAAAGGATAGTCACTAATTAAGCCAGGAACTTCATTTTGAGCTGGATTGGAGCTTTATGAAATAGTGTACAAGAAATCAAGTAGACATTTCTCCATTTTAGCAGTGCCATCGCATTAGAACCTGTAAGTTTCTCTATGTACTGAAATCAAAAGAAAATATCAAAAGCAACAGTCAGAAATTTAAACATGTAGTGGGGTCGACCTAATCTACATCAACACAGCCACCACCACCACCATATTTGTCAATCTCACATCCACTAGACTCCAGAGGTTTATTCTCATGAACCAGAACAAGTTCTGCTCGTTTCCCAAGTCAGTTTGAATCAAAGGAGAATACAGTCTTCAAAGTTGTAATAACAGCAGCATCATTCCAGTACGACACTACCAACATATGCATAGTTATCCTCTACTGGTTCATCTCCTGCAGCGAGGAAGCTTTGTTTAGTGCAAAGGACATAACCCAAATCTTAACAGGAGAAAGGATAAGAGCTCAATGGAGAATTACAAAAATAAAGAAATTCCAATACCAGCTGGTGGAATTTGAATAGCAGTAAACAATTTGACCCAACTCACCAGAAAAAGCAAAAAGCAACAAGAAAGTCCACCTCACTAGCAATAAAATCCCACAATCCGATAATGGATTGTTAGAACGTCAAAAAAAAAAAAAAAAAAAAAAAAAAAAAAAAAAAAAAAAGAAAAAAATCTTACATGCGTCTACATTCATTTTTTTTTTTTTTTTTCCATTGTAGATCAGAAGCTCCGTAACCAGATATTTTGATTGCCAATAACAAACGTCAATACAATAATACCCAGCAATAAACCACCAAATGAACAAGTCACCAAGACCTGGTAAATCCCTTTAGCACAAATTAAAAACAAGCAAGAATGCTTTAGAGAAAAACAATATAACAATTCTCATAAACAAACTTGATCGCTTTTTAATAATGAAAAGAACAATATGTAAATGTCCTACCTTACTGGTCATTTCTTCAGAATCACAATTTATTCACTTGAGCAGAATGTCTATCCTATGGGAGGCATCTTTCGATAACATTTGAGGCAAAAAATGCTGAAGAGCATGCTACTGCATTCGCATCAAGCTCAAGTTTGGACCACAACGCCAACATTTTAGCTTAGGATAAATCCACTAAGGCAGTATGGTTTGCAGCCAGCACGACTGTACTTGAGGGATTGCTGCTAAATTTGCAATAAGAATTCAAGATCATTAGAATTCAAGTTTCTGAGAAGGTGTAAGATGGGTCGAGAAACGGCTACATTAGACTTCCAAAAATATTTAAAACAGATCTGCTATGCCAGTTAATCCCCCAGCCCCAAAGATATGTTTTCTCCTTAGGCCTGTTGATGACTAAAGATTTTTTGATTGATGTTTCAAAGTAGAACATAAGTAGATACAGAGTGATTTATGGATTAGAAAGTCAAGAAGCACTTGATTTCTGCTTCAAATTGCAATGTTTGGTCATTACGTCTTCCATTGGTTTGGGAATGCTTCTCTGTAATTTGCATCCTCACCCAGAGTAAGCTGCCTTACTGTTGCATCCCTTGCCCGAGTACTCAAAAGTCTCTGAGCTAACCTATCTTTTGTGGTTTCTTTCTTACGTAGCATTGAAGCAAGGCTTTCCTTTTTGTTTCTGGCCAAAAAATTCCCGCTATTGGTTGTCTGAACATTGTTCCCATCAAATGCAGAATTTGAAGTTGAAGCTAATGCAGCATCCCTTAGAACTGCTTCATTATGTTCCCGAATCTTTGCAAGCTTGGCACGCTTTTGTGACTGCTTGTCAGATTTTCTTTTCCTAGCTTCCTCATTATCCCTATCTCGAACATTTTCAATAGCTTGTTTTGCTAATTGCTCAACTAAATTAGAATTAAGAGCTGTATCACTTGTTGAAGTGCAATGATTGATAGGATTTCCCTCATCATCTCTCAGTATGATGAGTCCATGAAAAGGGCAAACTCTCACATCTCTTCTCTGACAAAGTCCTCCTCTGCGCAATGGAGCATGACATGGTTGTATTTCTGCTTGTTCTTCTTCGTAAATGGTTGCATGAATGTTTAGCTCTGCAATCTTTTCCGCTGGAATAACTGCATCATTATCCACCCTACCCCAGTGACTTTGAAGATCCAAGCCCCGGTGATTGACCAAAAACTCCCTATTTGAACCCCAATCATCCAAGAACGTTCCCCACTTTATAACTGGAGCTTCAGCTAAGAGCTTACTTCTAAGTGAGCTTGAATCACTTCTATGATGTTGACGGTCCTGTGGCTTTGCCTTCCCTTTACTGCTTTCAGGAGGATCATTTTTCACCTCTCCAGAAGTTGAAGCCACATCAAAATGTTGATTTAGCTTTTCAGGTGCACTAGAACTCTGATTTTGTACAGTTTCAATTTTACCCTCCTCCCAAAAATCTTCTTCCTCATCTTTTTCACGCTTTGTAATGTCAGGAAGAGCACAACCTGAGTCTACACATTTCTTCTTTACAGACTGAAGACGGTTTTGGATACTAATGAATTCCTTTAGCATGGAATCTCTAAATCTGCTATCTTCTACTTCAACCCTTATGAGAACAGAGATCCACTCTTGGACTGAAACTAGATGCTTGGTTATTAGGACCTTGTAGAGCTCTCTCAATGCATCAAAAACCACTTTGTTCTCACTGCTCTCATGAATCTTTTTCCCTTCTCTCAATGAATCAACACGAATCTGCCGTAACTCTGAAGAACGGAACTCTTCAAAATCTTCGCTATCCAAAGGACCAAGGGGCATAATTTCCTTTCCAGTTTGAACAATTTCTAAACACCGTTCAGTCTCATCTATTGTTGACTGTATCTCTTCTTTTATCGAAGATAGATTTGCCTTCAGTTTCTCAAACTTATTGTGTAAAATCTCTTTTGACCTCATCTCTCTTTCCTTTCTCTCCTGCTGTACCCTTGCTGCATTTGCCTGGATATTAGGAAATTGGAATCGGAGAGTGTTTTTAAGGTAGTCAAAACCTAGCCTAATCTGTCTGTAATGAATCCCAAATGAAGCATTCCACTTCTCTAAGAATTCAATCGCCTTTGAACGCATAACAGATGCAACAGCAGGTGGAGCAGGAAGCGGTAGATTCCTTCTGAATCCAACACTTAAACTCAACAGCTGATCCAAGTTCTCAACTAGAAGAGTCCTAAAAAGCTTTGATCGCATGAAAAGTTGGTCAATTATGAGAAGTGCGAGATATCTGACCTGAAAACACAATCAGAATCCAACCATTTATAGTAGGTATAGAAATACTGACATTTTATTTCCCAAAACGGATTCCAACATCCCAAAAGGGATTAAAAAGGAACAACAAAAGCAAGGCATCCGGTATAACTTGAATGCAAGACGTTCTATTTAACAGAACATATCGGACAATCTTATCCTTATGGAGAATAAGCACAAGGCAACCAATTAACCTGAAACTATCGATCAATTAAAGAACTAAAATAAAACAGAAAGCAAAAACCCTAGATTCCTTATTTGCTACATTGAAATTTGATTTTTGAAACATTAAAATGAAGAATCGAAAGTGAAAGTGAAAGTGAGGACCTGAGAGTGGTCGCGTTTCATGAGATCCATTAGGGTTTGGGCAGCGAGTCGAACCTCAGAATCAGAATATCTGACGACAGATTTGATTGCCTTGAGGAGGCGCGGATCCACCTCCGCCGCCGTAGAATGAGTGGCCTTCTCTATCAATGCCCTCACTTTCCCTCCATCCCCTTCCATTTTCACAAAGCAAGAGAATTGAAGAAATAAAAATGGAGAATAATTCAAAAGTAATGCAATTTATACATCTCTTTCTCGTTAGCAATGCCCCGGAGTCGAGAAGGGTCGGTTGGTCGTGATGACCACCATCTCTCGACCCTCTTCATTGTACGTATTTACATTATTACCACACCCTTTCACAATCCCTTCTTTGTTACGAGTTACGAACTCCCTACAAAATCCGCGCGTTGCACGGATTTCATTTTAATTTCATAAAATTTTTAGAATTCATAGAGAGCTTAATATTATAATATTTTATTAATTTATAAATTAAACTTATACAAAATATATTTTAGGAGTAATTACTACATAGCTCCTAGAGTTTGGTGAATTGCACACTACTAAGAACTTGTATTTTTAAAATTGTATTATATAATCCATATATCATTATAAGAACAATTAGTTTTTCCTATCTTCAAAAAAAAAATTTATTAGTTTTTTTCATTAAGTGGCCGCGAAATATTAATAATATCTCAAAGAGTAATTATCATATAATCCATATATTAAGTACATTAATAAGGATGTCGGTTTTTCAAGATTATATTATTTGTTCCTTATATTATCAATATATACATAATTTCTTCTCACTCGCGATTCCTAAATTATAACTTTTATCATTTTAATGTCTTTAGATTTCAATTGGTCCTTTAAAAATCCCTCACATATTGGAATAACAAAAAAAAAAAAAAAAAAAAAAAAAAAGTGTTTTTTACCGGTTTCCTGTTGTCATCCGGTTGAAAAGCATATGTTTTCATGAAATAATTAATAAAAAAGCCACATCAGCTAAATTATAGTCCCTTATTATATATTTTTTTCAATATATGTAGAAAATATCCACTTCAGTTCTGCACTTTTTTTTTTTTTTTTTGAGAATTAAAGCTCATCACTGGATCAAGGTAAGATACACACAGAACAAGAAATTTATTTCTTGGATCATTCTGCTATCTCTTCTTTTTCCTTTATTTCTCTCTCTCTCTCTCTCTCTCTCTCTCTCTCTCTCTTGTTTCGATGATTGGCGTTGCGCAGATCTACTTCCTTGTCTTCTATGCTTACCCTTGCACAATTCAGATTTGCTTCCTTTCCTTTGTCACTTGAAGCTTTACCACCTATTCTCACTCTTTGGCAATTGATCAGTGTTGCTTCACTTGTGGTGTGTTGCCTCCTCCCTGATACTGCTTATGATTATTGATTTTGTTTTTTTAGAGTTTTTGAAAAGAAGTTTTGTTATTAGTTTGTTTGGTTGCTTGGAAATAAAAGAGAATTAAAAAAGAGGAGATTTTGATTTGGATAGATTTTTTATTATCATTTGGTTATGTTGTATTTTATTGATGAAATTTTTTGCTTTTATTTTGGTGGTTGATTTTAGATTTTACAGGTGGAGAGAGAGGTTTGAAAAATATATGAAATAAATAATCAAATTGAAGAATTCGTAAAAAAAGGAAATATCTCCTCCGTTTCCTTTTTTATAAGGATATTGCCTTTGATTTTGAATAAATATATAGAAAATAAAAATACTTTTGAAATATCACGGGGAAGTGGACTTGATGTTGACAATGCTTTCTTTCTCAATTGTTTAATAAAAAAAACAAATGTTTTTAACCGGCTGATCACCTAAAAATAGGCATGGCCAAATTACGGTTCCGGGAATCGGAACCGTCGGTTCGAACCGGCCTGGAATCGTAATCGGAACCGAAAAAATCTGGTTCGGTTCCGGTTCCTGCAAATGAGGAACCAGAACCGGCGGTTCCAGAAAACCGGTCGGAATCGGACTGGAACCGCCGGTCCTGGCAAATGGAGGGAACCAGAACCGGCGGTTCCAGAAAACCGGTCGGTAAATCGGACTGGAATATCGCCGGTTCCCCGGGCCGGTTTAAGAAACCGTCCGTTTCGAACGGCGGTTCCTAGCCATTGTACTGTCAGATTTTTGAATTTTTTTTTTGGAAATGTTCTTAATTACCTACCTCCCAACAGCCCATAAACGGCTATATCGGCTACATAACGGCTAGTTTCAAGGGTATTTTTAGAAAAATGAATTTTTGGATTTATTATAAATACCTCATTTTATTTACAAATTCATTACAAAAACATCTCAACTCTCTCTACAATATACTACACTCTCTACTTACTCTCTCTACCATATACTACACTCTACTCTATATTAATCATTTATTCTTCTCTACTCTACTCTATATTCTTACCATGCAAATTTTCGGGTACGCTTCTAACCTTCTTTATTTATATATTCTGAAAAAATACAAAAAGAAGAATTAGCAAAAATCAAGTGGAGGAAACTCAAATTCGGGTAAGGGCAAGGGAAAAATTGGAGAATCATCTATCCCTACAAACGACATCTATGATATGATTCCCGACCAATGTAATTTTGAGGGTTTTCCAAATGAAAATTTGGATATTCCAACTCAAGAATCCGAATTTAATGAGCAATTAATGAGCAATTTCAAGAAGATGAAGAGCAAGAGCAAGAGCAACGAGCAAAAATTGTTACAAGAGTAAGACAAAGTTCCGACATATTCTCCATTTATTTCACAAGAAAATTCAAAGGTGAGAAAATGTACGATATAATTTGCAATTATTGTGGAAAATCTTATAAATTTAAATAAGCGGACGGCTATGGATCATTTTGGAAGCATTTGGAGGCAAAACATCCAACAAAAATAGTAGTTGATCGGTCTCAACAACAAATTTCCGGGTACGCTTCTAACCTTTCTTTATTTAAATATTCTGAAAAAATATAAAAAGAAGAATTAGCAAAAATGATAAAAATGATTTCTATGGAACACTTATATCTTTTAGTTTTAGGTGAAAAAAATTAAGGTTTTATAATAATATGGTCAAAAAAGCTTTAAAATCCTTGTGCTAAAAGAGTAACCAAGAAAAAAAAAAAATAACTTTTTTGTAAAAAAAAAAACGAACTATTATTTCTTTATATAACAAAAGGAAAAAAAGAGTTAGAACTTTTTATTTTCTCAATTGAAAATTCGTGTTTCAATTTTGGTTGTGATGTTTGGAGTGATCATTGGCAAATGCATTCTTATATGGGTATTACATGTCATTGGATTGATGATGATTGGAAAATTCAAAAAATAATTATTGATTTTCGTGTTTTTGATGATAAACATACTGCAAATAATATTTATAGAGTAATTGTTTCAATTTTAGATGAATATAGGTTGAAAAAAAAATTTTCAATTTCATTTGACAATACTTCTGCAAATACTAGATCAATTATTGAACTTAAAAAAATTTGTGAACCAAATATTGGTGGTAAATTTTTTCATATAAGATGTGCATGCCATATGTGCTGCCAATGTTTTAAATTATGTGTACAAAGATGGTTTGAAAAATTCTTGATTCCTTTTATTTCTCCATTAAAAAAAGCTATTCATATTTTATGGACATATAAAAGTGAAAAAAACATCCCAAGTATGAAAAGTTTGGGCTAAATTTGTTAAAGAAAATAATAAAAGACCAAAACGTTTTCAAGGGATGTCCCAACTCGTTGGAAATTCAACAGTATGAATATCTAATAGCGAGTCTTTTTCTATAAAGAATTATTATGTTTTTTGTTAACTAATAAATATTTGAGGATAATTAATTTATATCCACGAAAATTTGGGAATTTGTACAAAAATTTTAGATATTTTAAAAATTTTTAATGATGCTACCTATAAATTTAGTGGGGTTTATTATCCCACATCTCATTTATTTTTACCTGTGTATTAATATTGTTAATGCACTCCAAGAATTTCAAAATGATGATTTATTAAAAGATTGTATTTTTTCAATGAAAAAAAAATGGTTATCTTATTTTAAAAATATAGCACCCCTTTATCTTGTTGCTATTATATTTGATCCTAGATGTAGAATGGATGTTTTATGTGATTATTTGACTATTTATTATGAAGTATTGAATCTTGATGTAGAAGATAATGTTAATATAAATGTAGTAGAAGATAATGTTAATATAAATGTAGTAATGCATGAAGTTAAACAAAATATTATGCAATTATATAATTTCTAGTTCATCTACTTCTATTTCTACTTCTTCTCAATCTAATATTCCACAATTTTCAACATAAAGGGTAAGTGGTGTTGGTGTTGCTCAATAAGTTTCATTGCAAAGACAAAAAAGAACAAGGGAATCCAGTTCTATTTCTGAATTTGATAATTATCTAACAACTTCTTTTGAGTTTGGTGATGATTATGCTGATGCAGATTTTCCAATTTTAGATTGGTGGAGTCGTCACGCAAATACTTTTTCAATTCTTTCTTTACTTGCAAAACAAATTTTAGTAGCTCCGGTCTCCACTGTTGGTCTCCACTGTTGCGGTTGAACAAGCTTTTAGTCAATGAGGTAACATACTTGATGAAACACGATCTCGTATGACACCCAATTCATTAGAAGCACAATCATGCTTGGATGATTGGACTAAGGCCGAACTAAGAGCCCAAGAAAATCCAAAAGAAAATGAAGATTTATATGATTTATACGATGGATCCTCAACGAGAACATCAAGCGGTGGTGCAAATAGCGATTAAGGTAAATGGGGTGAAATTGGTATAAGGTAAGTAAGAACTACGTGGGCTTTGATTCCTCTAAACCCCCTTTGAATTCCTCTAAACCCCAAGAGAATACGTAGGCAATATTAATTTTTTTTTAACAAAAAAAAAATTAAGTTCAAGCACCATTTTTTTTTTTTAAATTTGGTTCACAAACTTAAAAAAAAAAAAAAAATTCAGTTCAAAAATTTTTTTTTAAAAATAAATTTCATTATGTTCAAACACTCCAACAATTCAAGTCTTTAAAAAAATAAATTAATTGAAGTATTTTTTAATTTTTTAGGTGTATTTTTAATTTTTTATGTTCAATAATTTTTTTTAAACTGATCTTCAAAATTTAAAATTTTTTTAGGTGTAACTTTTTTTAATTTTTTATGTTCAACATAAATTTTTTTTTAACCGGTCTTCATATTTTAAAATTTTTAAACTGTATTTCATTTTTATGTTCACATAAAATTTTTTTTTTAAACCGGTATTCCAAAAATTTAAAATTTAAAAATTATGCGATCGCCGGAAAAACCAAATCGGAACCGTCGGTTTTTGTAAATCCGGATAGAAACCGGAACCGGAGCCGGAACCGGACGGTTTCGGAAA